TGCAAGGATTTTCCGCGCAAGATTCCTTTAACTTCCTCCACCACCGCCCCCTAAAATTGTCAAATTCGACCCCGTCTCAAAACCACAAATACACAGAAAGCCGAAACAAAACAATTACCTCCGAAGATCACAAATAAGGCCACCCTCCGTCAGGATCGGTCACGGTTAACCCTATTCAGAACATCGCCGCATCATGGATGCTATGTCTCCCAACGACCCCTGGTGTGACAAAGTCCCACTGACTTTGCGCCTGCTAGCTATTATTTTGTTTCTCTACTCTTATGCTTAGCTTGGGTTTCTGGTTTCACTAGAGCGGTCACCTTCCAATCACACTTCTTTACGTGAGTATCCTGGGTCAGAAAGCAAAAGAAATTTAAAGGAATTTTTGCTCATTTTCCGAATGAGGGAGAGAAGAATACTGCCCTAATTGTGATTACGATTACATCAGGTAGATTATTTTACTGGCAAAGGAAATCACAAACTTGCAGCAGAAACGCTTATAGAAGTAGCTTCCAAGAATTGTTGAACACGGCTTCCCGAAGCTATCGTCAGGCACACAAAAACCGCTGAACCACATGTTGGAACATCTGGAACAAATCAATTCAGTTACAAAAATAGAGCGGGAAGGACGTAAGCACGCCGCTGTTCCTCATTAAATATTTGTAATCTCTGCGAGCATTTATTTATCAACTAACCGTCCATTATGCATGCGAATGAAGTCATATTCGGAAGGGCACGGCCAGTTACATAACGGGGCTGTACCAAACCACGTACAGCCTCCTTCGGATTGTGATGGATGAAAATTGGTCAGCTCTGACACAGTTCGGGCTGTCATTCCTGAAAAAAATATCGCCCAATCTGAGTGCATAATCGAATCAGTAAGAGTTCTGAGCGTTCGAGGAGCTTTTCTTCTCAAAATCCGCTCTCATTGGAATTATACCTAGTATGCCCCAACAAATGTCTTTTCCAGGAGCTTTTGAGTTTCAAAGCCTTGTCACAATCTGGGAACATCTATCGCACCAGCATGGGTGCGACGCGCAGGAGCGTCACAGCGTCCCTTTGGCAAACTAAGCTAAACTAAACATCCACAACGTGGCTTCCACAATTACAATTAACAGCACAACGGAAATAGCTTAACATAATGATCTCAACGTTAAAAGGCTCCTGCCCGATCAGTGTTAATGGGGATGCGCCATGCACTAGGCTTGGGTTCATGGTTGTGGTAGCACTTGAAAGCGTGCTGAGCCGATACCTAACAATACATAGGCTTCGCCAGCTCTGGGGGGGTTTGTTACTTCTCCCCCCCCCCTCCAAGGCAGAAAACACGTGCCGTTGTTGCCGCGTGTTTCCTGTCCCTCAGGGACCAACATACTACTCTGAATGCAAGTAGATGATTCGAGAAATGACAAAGGGGAATCGGGCTATTTTCGACGCCATAGTTATTCTTCTAGTTATTTTCCTAACCCTGAACTCCGTGAAATACAAAAGAAAGTTCAGATCAGAAACACCTTAAGTTTTTGTGGATGACTGCGACAACGTACCGATCATTCCCGTGACTACGGCCGTGGCAATCGGGCCAGAAACAAGTCCGCCATCGCGTTTCTGCCGTGAACGTCTCGTTGTCGAGTTCACTGGCATCGCAATCAGGTTCCATCTGTGATAGTTATGAGAGAACTTCTCGGCCGTGTAATTGGCAATTCGGGCACGCATCTCCTGTTCATCTGTCCAATTTGAAGGCCCTTCGGGTAGCTCTAGCACTGAACAAGCTCTTTATTAGAATGGCTAGAATATTTTAACTACAAAAACATATCAAAGCAAGAAGGAGCGGTTATGGCCCAAGATTGTGAGCTTCAAGCATTTCAAATATTTCTTCTCAAAAATTCACTTATACTGCTGTCATTTGATATCTTTTAATCTGAGAACCTCCACGCTGTTATTGGACACTTCAAGGCAACCCACTATCATTTAAGCAATCTTCAAGTCATTTTCAGATTCTAAAGTGATTTTCTTCTCGCTAAACTATTCTGGGAACGCCATGCAGTGCAATATTTATCTACTTCAATCAAATAATGAAGCAAAGTAATTAGTTATGCAATATTAGTACGACCAGTAGATGCGCTGAAACATCACTGAAACTCAAACTGTACGGTATATCAGGAGTACCGCAGCCAAGAAAGTGTCATAAGGGAAAGGAAGAAAGTAAAAAAGGATGGATCAGAAAGAATCCAGAGCGGCCCTTTCAGCTATCGGATTCCGTAACGGAGAAGAGAATAAAAAGGGAAAATTCACCATGTCTCAACAAAGGAGTAAAAACATTCTGAAGCTACTGTAACACATAGTTTTTCGAAAATGTTTGTTTTTACAATTCCATGGAAAAAGTCATGAGATCCGACACACTCTTTTCATTCTCAGAAAGAATTTCTCCGTTATCAGTTCTCAACTTCAGCCGACTAATTCTTCTTGATCGAGGCAATAAGACGGCGGATGAGAAGGTGCCACATATTATCCATGGTTGCATTGTTTGCAAAATAGTAAGTAGAAATGAGTTGGGGAGCAGGGGCGAGTGCGGGTGTGGGGATGGGGGGGGGAAAAGAGAGTCAAACATTGATGTACCCGTCTAAAGTGAGGATTTTCCCCGAAAATTTGAAAGCATTGGATGTTTTCTTATACAGGCAGTAACTCAATATGGACATTCACGTTGCAACCAGTAAGGCAATGAATAAAAGTTATTCAGAAAAAAACATGCTAAAGGTACGGATCGGGATCGAACTGGTGTTTGTTTTGTTTGAAAATTAGACAAGAAACGCGATTAGGAGGAGGAAAAGCAAAACCAGCGAAATCACTTCTAAAGGTCGAGTATGAATAACGGAGGGCCAGCGCTGCAATGAGAAGGAGGGCGATGAGCGTGTCGTCGGCCGAGAAGGCGGCAAAAGCCAGTTTAGCCGCATTATAAGACGCAACATCAGTAACACATAAGGCAAAGCCTGAGCGCCCTTGACGGCACGTTTGAGATGCGAATGTCGCTCGCTTTTGAATCTGAGAGACTCTCTCTCACCTTTAGAGGGACTACCTCTTGGTACGTAACCTCGGCCCGTTTCTTTGAGCTTGAAATGCCAAATTAGAAGGCAAAATGATTACGTCAGTGCAAGAAATATTTCCACACCTGATCGTGCCTTAGTATATTAAAGCAAAACACCTAGATATTATGAGAGTAACAGCGGCAATAATGATGGCGAGGAAAGGGCATGTGTGGACGAGTTTCTCGAACCAACTGCATCATTGCCATGAGGTTACCATTCTGTCGACCTTTCGCTTACGATTTCCGCTACGTGTTATCAGCGTTGCATGCTAGAAAGTGCGACGTACTATCTAGTCCAATTGGCGCCATCACATCATTCGTTAAGGCACTGCTCCACTTGACGTGCCTGTCGAAGCCCAAAACGCGCACATGCGTGGGAATTGTGGGTGGACTTGTGGACTCATTCATTTATTAAATAACTGCGAACGAGTCATCTGAAGTGATGCTAAGATAAATTTGCCCGTAATGACAGCTGATGCGATAACAGTATGCCGACCATCCATATGTTCTAAAGTGCGTACATATGGATTTGATGCTCCTGGCACGAACTCACATCTACCATCTGGCTCAACGAAAAAAAAAACAGGAAAAGGTAGCGGAAAAGCTTAAATGAATAACGATTCCGGTAGATTTAATATCAATGGGCTTGGGTTAGGAGCTAGCAGCTATAATACATCTTGAAAAAAATCACCTCCCGCCAATGATTGGGACACGAAGCTCATGCCAAACACCTTCCTGTAGTCATGCGTGACATCCATGAAGGTCCCATTTTTCTGCAATTTTTAAGGAGCAGCAGAAGTTGAGTAGAGACCAGAAACATTTCGGTAGGTTTTGGCAGGAGATAGTCCTAGTGTTAGTGTCTTGCCATAACTAGGCAGAGGTGGCTGTATGGCAGTAGCGTCACTTTCCACGCGCACGATCCGCGGGTCAAATCTCGAATCGAACCTCGCCCATGCTAACAAAACCTTCCATCCTTCCCGACTCGGTCAATGTTACCAGACAGACTTCTCTGAGTGGACAGAGAGACTTAATTTACACAGACGGTTCTGGAAGAATTGGTAATTAGTAATTTTATGGGCCATACTGCATACACATGCCACTGCGAGCGAAGACAGACATGCGTGGCCAACACAAAAGATCGATCGACGTAAGAAAGCTTCATCTTTTGAGCTTTGTACTATAGCCGATATTGCCGAAAGGCACAGCGGGAAGGTTGCCGCGTGCACTCCAACGGGATGACAATAACGAGCGAAATCAGTAAGAAGATGACAGAAATTTCTGGAAAAGTTTGCTTTTTTCCGAAGGACAGCAAGAAAATCTGCTGATCTACAATTACACGGATTGCCTGGCCGCTTCTGAAGTAAGTATGGATACGGGTCCCACTGCCCAATTTTAATAGCGCATAAGAATACATATATACATTTATTAATGTTGTTTATTCTTATAATATACTTGTTTATTTATTCAAAAAATTATATAACACTTCGACACGATAACAGTGAGAAGATATTGTGAGAGCAGTTACATTAGGATTAGTTGTATTTGTAACCGCATTATGGGGCGAAGGCGGTGATGTGGTGGAAAATGGTACCACTTATCACATGCACGGTCCGAAGCTTCAACTCGGATCGAATCCCGCCACGCCATCTAAGCCCTTAAAGGGATCAGTCAGTGAATTGTCGGCTCGACGAGACGATATAAAAGCACCGGACTGTATGCATATAAGGGAGGTTCCGCAACCGATTAGCGTTAACTAAACCCTAAACGTGCGTCGCGTAAGCAGAGGACGAAGAACGCCTTATGCTCTGTCATCTTTTAAGCAGCGTCAGCTTAAGACTTATGCCTACGTATTGCCTTATCAAAGTTTCAAGCGTTAGAAGATAGAGTTTACAGAGAGCAGTAGTAGTCAGAGATTGCTTTATTGCTAGCAGTGCGATACCTAGAAGTAACGTCCCTCAGTTCTCATTAATATTTTCCTAGCTTTCTGGGCATCAGATTTTCACAGTAAAATATCCAAGTCTCGAGAAATCAAAGTCAGGTCCAAAAAGTAAGCCAAAGAAAGGAACGATGTCAAGCAGAAAACGCAAAGGAAAAAGCAAGTTTCATTAGAAAGTAATTTTGTTCAAAGCAGTTGTAAATTCAGCTATTATAATTAACTCCATAAATCACTTTCATTAGAAATTCTAGAGACAATCGAGAAAGCTCATGAAAATCGTATCGACGTTGCGATTGAGTGAACATTCCAAACACGATTAAATGAGCGAAAAAGTGCCTTTGCGAGCAGTGAATACTAGAACAGTCCCTCGAGTGCCGAGATTGTGATTTTGCAACTCAATCATGCGTGACGAGGGCTCATGGATTATGACGTAAAGAAAAGGAAACCTCATTCTCACTCTCCCCATGCTAGAATTTCTATTTCTCAACTTGATATTCACCGCTGGATGTACTGATGCCTGCGTCTCGCCTGTCCCTTTGCTCTCTCGTCTCTTAGGCGTCTGCTCCCTCGTACGTGTTTAGTTTCTCTACCAGGAAGGTCTTTCAGGGCGTGCCAAGCTTTTTGAAAACGGTCTTTTGCATGATATAGGGGCACATGCGGGAACCACAGAACCATGGTTAATTTTTCCTGAACGGCCCTCTGAATACCAGAAAAGGGGTCCCTAGTTCGATTCCTCGTGGTGACAAATTTTTGCATTTCGAGTTGACGTTTCAAAATTCGCGCAAAATGGAGTTAGCATGAATAATTAGTACCATATTCATGATTAGGACCGTCAGTAACCCTTACAAATAGACTTTGATTAAAAAACTGGTGAAAAAGCTGTGACACCAAAGTGGGGGGCTGTTCTGGTGTCACAGCTTTTTCACCACTTTTCAATCAGAGTCTATTTGTAAGGGTTACCGACGGCCCTAAGTATGAATATGGCATTCATCGCGAGCTCGCACAATATTCAGAAGTAAATGTAAAGAGATCCTATAGAGATGGCATGAAGCTGTATCTACATAGAGATAGAGCTAACTCGTGCTATTCAAGGAAAAAGAAGGCTTGGTCTAAGAGTATGGTGGCTGGGTATTGCACGTTGTGTGTTGTTTTTTCTGCTGCAACAAAAAAGAATCATGCTTACCATAAGTACCACAATGTGAACCACAAAGCAGGCCATCGATGAGCATCACGGTAAGGGTCAACTAGCATGTGCTGTCAGAGTTGGTACAATTCAGCTCTTGATAGGCACCCGCATTCACTGTTCAAAGAGCAGAAGCGGGCAAAAGCCTCAAGTAAAGGCAAGGTGGTCTGTGATTTTCAAGCCGTCGAGTGTCTTCTACCTTCCCAGATTTCGACTAGGGCTCGCGCACGAAAACTCTACGCTAGTGTGGAAATCCCCGCCTTTCGCTCAACCGTCATGAAGAATCTGAATCTGATTTAAGGTGTCTGTCCAATGCTGACCTTCAATGTGAACTTAAGGTATTTTTCTCTGTCACACCATAAATTTACTTACCACACAATTACCAGAATTTTTTAGGGCACTTTGAACTTATCAGATCTAGGCAAAATTCGCTCAAGGTCAACTCTAGTGCACGTGCAAAAACTGGCAGGAACTTGCTCGTTAGTTGGAAAACAATCGTTTTTCGGAAAAAGCTCAGTCTACCTCGAATAACATTACAACGCTCGTCAGTGTAGAGCTGTAGAGAAGAATGTCATAGTGCTATACGAGCGGAAGAGTGAATTGTTCAGAAAAAGAGGTTCATAGGGTAGCTTGAACTGGGTCACAGGTGAGACCCACTATTCCATTCTTCAACTTGGCAAAGTTTGCTGTCACCATACGCTCAGTAGCCAAAATCAAGGGGTTCCACGAATTTATCGAAGTGCTGTGGTTCGCCTCGATGTTAAATAAGGTAACAGTTCAAAGAGGGTTAAATGCGTATTTCAAGTTTTGTTTTGTAATTTCTCAGAAATACGCCAATGCAACTTTCGACTTCATCTCGATCCAGGCATTAAATAGTCCAAATATGACTAGTCTACATAGTGACCTTAACAAACATCAGTAAATGAGTAATGTTCATAACAGAGAAAGACGGCTATAGGCTGTTTTGACGTCCAGATTTGTAGCGGAATCGTGCAGAGGGGTTAAACAAGGGTTTTTCGCGGCTTAGACGGGAACCAGTCCATAAGGTTTTATCAGTGTGCACATCCCATTTATTCAGGGTTATGGCCACTCAAATCAGGGCCGCAGAAAAGACGGTGTGGTTTGAACCACAATTCGAGAAGGAGATTCGACAAGAATTGCTCGATCACCTTTACATTTCAAAATGATCTCATACCGGCATTGTTTTGGGATCCCTATTGATGCCAGATCACCATTACCCATGTTCCATGGAAGGCAGATGAACTGAAAACTACCTTACCGTAGGGTAAGAACAACTCAAGCCCTAAATTCCCAACCGTCAATACACCTGTGCCTAATCGTCGACAGCCCCGTGATATCCAATCCCTATGCTGACTCATCCCTCAAACCTTGCCTGAAACCTGGCCAGCTGCTGTCAACCAAACATTAGAACGCCCGCTAGGACACAAATATTCACCCTCCTCCACGAATGCTCATCGATAACCGATTATGCAAACTCCAAATCGATCGTAAAAAAACTCGATCCATGAGGAAATACGAGATTGAGCCGGAAATGACAGCAAGAATCACGGAAAATTCTCTCAAACGAAAGAAATTAGGAAATAAATCGTGCCGAAGTCAAATTTCGAGTAGACCTGGAGAGAATCGATTGTTCCCTTTGTTTTCACTAGTGCAATCGTTGAAGATCTTATGATCGATAAGATCACAGGAACACGAAAATAGGTACGAATGAAGAGAGCAATGAGTGAAATAGTCAATAAAAACTTACCGGTAACTTCAGCAAAGGCGGTTAGTAAAGAGAATATCAGAAATGATGACGTCACCGTCACCGAAGGCATTTCTCGACGATGAGGTAGGTGAACGACGACGTAGTATGTGGACGGCCTCGGCGATGTCAGAGGCGAGAGACGTCAGGCACCAGCTGTTGCCGCGCCCCACCCGAACCAAAGCATGACTCATTCAGCAGTTCATTTACTGACATCACCTAGTTTGCATTTCAAACCAGTCCTTACTTACCTGGTTGGGTTATGTAAACCATAACTCAGGTCACATTTATTGTAAAAGTATTGTCGTTTTTTGTCGTTGTAGATTTTAGGTGTTCCCTTAAATGGAAAGGGACATTCACACAAATCTCAGGCTTTCAGTAAAACCCTGCTTCCAAAAGTCAACGGGCTCACTATTTGGTGAAAGCGGAGACTGATAACTACACTTGCAAGTAGCTTGCGCTTCAATGTGGGAGCGGGATTCGTTCAGACGGTAAGTGCTAGCCTCTGAAGATGTTA